AACTATAGAAATGTAACGTTGTGGTAATTCGTCAAAAATATAAGATGAATAATAAAGGTTCGATTCCTGTCCAGGAGATGATAGGTCCTCACTTTTATACATTGTATCGTTTTCTTAAGATTTATCTACCCGGGTTAATGCACTCACTTCATTATAACTTTAGATACTTTATTTAAATATTGAATAATTCGTACAGAAGTTGTTTAAACTTGTTTTCTTAATTTAGTCATATTAGTAGGAAGACCAAGAGGAACGAACCTAGTGCGAGGTTCATAGTACACATGATAATTTCAAGAGTCTGAACATGGACATGGTAAATTTCCAGATGTTCCGCCGTTATCGTCAGTGAGCCTTGTTATTCTAAGCACCACAATACAACCCGTCAAGGACAAGTGAAGCCGATGCTTTGACCAATTGTCTGCTTATCAATTGTGGTATCTCTACTTCTGCCCATGGCTATTCACCAATCCTATATCTTCGTATTACCCCTTACCAAGAGGATAATAGGCGGGTCCTACAAGGCGAGAAAGAGTCTATGTTAAGATCTATGAGAAGAGGATTGCGGGATGAGGAGGAAAAAAAGCCAGTGCAAGGTTTGAAGAGTTCTCATGCAATCCGCTAAAGAGCAAACACCATACCACATTTAAATAAGAAATTTTGGTAATGAAAGGGTGATACAAGAATATCTGATTGGTGAATAGCCTAGGGCAAAAGGGAAGATAACACAATTGTTTAGCAGACAATCGGTCGAAGGGTCGGCTTCACTTGTCTCTTTGACTAATTGTAGTATTGTGCTAATAATAGGAAGGCTCACTGACGATGCCGGCGAAACGTCTGGGAATAGACCACGTCCACGGTCCAACTCTTGAAATTATCATGCTTACTATGGATTCCAGACAAGGAGCTCTTCTCTAGGCCTTCCTACTAATCTAATCAAGTTGCAAAAGCAAGATTAAACAACTGCGACAATACAAAAAGCCTCGTCATCTAAGTTTCATACCTTTGCTTGAAAAATATGCTTGCTAGAATAAGGCAGGGATGCAGAGCAATATTCACCCTATATGGTGAAGATCCTTCCATTCTGATCGTTTGGAATCGTTTGTTATTTTTGTTAGAATACTATTTAGACGATTTCACAGCCAAATATGACCCTAGTGCTGAGCTTTTTTCCAGTATTTAATAAAGACTCTCAGAACTGGAATTCATTCTTGTAAACGTCTCAGATCAGGTAAAAAAAAGTTTAAATTAAGACTACAAATAAAACAAGAATTAAGTCTAAAGGTATTACTAAAATTCTCCTCTTTTTATTATTTTGTATTAAAATGCAAAGTAGAACGAGCATTGAAAGTGATTGGAAAAATTAAAATTTTTTCAATTGTGCAGTTTAATTTATGCTGGCGGCTTTCAGAGCTTTTATTATATTGAATACTATAAACTTTGTTTTCGCTATTACTAGCAAGATTTATATAGGAGAAGGTCTATTCTAGATAATAAGTCCGATTTTAAGTTAAACTTAACTGTGAAATAGTGCAATGAGATGTAATGTGGAATAGTGATATCTAACTTTAAAGATCTACTCTATGCATTTTCACCAGATATAGCACAACACGTAAGCAAATTGGTCATAATATAGTTAATTTAATTTTGGGATTTGAAATGTAATATATTATAAGGTTTTTATATTTCACTGTCATATTCAAATTCCTAAACTTAGATACATTATACATAAAACCAAACATTTATTGTTCTCCTATTAATTATTGACTGTAATAGATATAACTGTAATAGATATAACTGTAAATCATCTGAAGATTTATACAAATTTTCTAATTTAGATTTCTTGTTGTTGTTTCTCTAGATTGCTGTTTCCCCGCGTGTCTCGGTGCTTTACCTTAATCTTCTCCTTAGCCTAGTTTTTTTTAATCTTACCTAACCTTTGTCAATCACACAAAACTATATATGTTTAGAAATCAGTACGATCATGATGTATCCGTTTGGAGCCCCCAAGGAAGAATTCATCAAATAGAATATGCAATGGAAGCAGTCAAGCAAGGATCCGCAGTTATTGGTCTAAAAAATAACGATTTTTCAATAATTCTCGCTCTGAAGCGAGCTCCCTCCGAACTTTCATCTTTTCAAGAAAAGATTATTCATATTGATGACCATGTTGGTATCGCGATTGCTGGAC